ATATAATATATATATATATATATATATAGTGCGGGTGCACTCCGATGTGTATGCATCACAAGTAAACAGCAGCAGAAACGGGCTGCAAGGTTTTGATATTGGCAGCTTTTGGGCCAACATATCTACAGTTTGCAGTTCTTTTCCTCCGCAGTCGATTAAACTATCATGCTGAATCTATCCGTGTACATATATGAACACCCACTTTATATGTTTTTATACATTTGTGCATACACGTATATATTGTGTGCATGCACTATAATTTCCGTTTGCACATGCATCTGCAACGACGCCTACATCATCAGTACACGAGAGGCGTGTTGGGGCAACTATTCAGACGTGCAGACCCCGGGGTGTAAGTACACCTTAGGTGACATCTGTTGTCGCCTCTTCGCTATGGAAGTGCCACTATCTTGTCTCTCTGTGAGCCTTTGCTGCTGCTGCCGCTGCTGCTGTTTCGCCTAAGGTTTCGCGCGGAGCTAGGCGAGGTAGAGGGCCCGCAGGAGGGTTTTGTGGTGTTGCAGCGTTTGTTGGCGGAGTTCGACGCAAAGTGCAAGATGAGCGCCAAGGAAAACGTAGCTATGTCGAGGAGAGAAAAGAAAACAGACGAGGAATCAGCACTAAACGCAGCTGTTGCCGACATAAGACAGGCTCTAGAACGCGAAGCATTCAAGGGTAAACGATGGAGGCCAGCAGGACTGCTTGGTCGTGACTAGCTGCTGTGTCTGGTCATGCTTTGCCTCTTCAGCAGATGGCTTACTGTCTCTGGCTCTTTCTACCTTCGGCGTCTCTGTGCTAGCTTGTTTGACTTCTTTTTGTCTCTGTTTCCGTTGGCCCCATTCGTGCAATCTTTTTGTTTCCAATTGTCTCTGCTTTTACCCGTAGGTGCCCCCGTTATACTGTTCATTTGTCCCTTGTTTGTTTGACTTGTTCCATGTGCCCTCACTGGCGCTGTTGTTCCTGTCCCTGTATGAATTATCTTTGAGATGTTGTGTCTTGCCACCGTATAGGTTTGCACTTTTTTCTAGTGTATTTCGAGTGTCTTTCGTTGCATGCGATTTTTGCAGAGCTTCGGTTGCTGCATCGCCTGCAGCTAGAGGCGCTCCGTGTGCTATCTGCACGGCGTTTTGAGCTTCTGGTGCAGCAGCTGTTGGCCGGCAGGGCAGACCAACAGGAGCAGCTGCAGGAGACGCAGCAGCTGAATCTGTACGACATCGCCAAGTGAGACCTCATAATTGCAAAATATAGAGCAATGGTTCCAGCCGTTTTACAGGTTGTCAACGCAGTGTCCGTGCACCACACATGACCAACCGCGCGTGCCTACCTGTAGGGGAAAATAAAGTACAGTAGCATACATGTTATGCATGCATAAAGTAGCTCTAGTTTCCTGCCCGTTTACCACGTCTAGTGTGCATATTATGCATAACTATTTATTTTTTCCCCTCAGAGGTTGTCAGTGTGTTCGCATGTGGGGCCTGCAGCCGCATCTCCTATGCAGCGCTTCAAACGGCAAATAATTTGCAGCAATTCATTCGAGACCACCATCGCTCTATGGACCTCGAGTTAGCAAGACACCTACTTCTCGAAGAGCCAGAAAGTTCATTGCAGCACCAGGAGCAACAGCCGCAAGCGGCAGCGGCTGCGCGGGAGTATCTGGGGGCGGTGGAGCGGCTTGCAGCGCAGGAGCGTCGCTTGCTATTGAAGTCTCTGCGGGAGATTGCTGCTGCTGCGTTGCACCAGCAAGAGCTGCTGCAGCTGCAGCAACAGCGCCAGGCAGGCCTGGGTCCGTTGCACCGTCTTCAAAGGAAAGCTGTCAATCGGTTCTTAGCAACTGCACCTGGGCGGGTAGCGTTGAGAGGCCTGCGGCGGGTAAGCAGCGCAGCATCAGCCGCAGCAGCCCATGTGGGGGAGCTGCCGCTGTTACGGCAGCTGCTACAGTCCCCATTGGCTGGTCTGTGGAGCAACCGAAGGCCCATCGATGTTTCCTTTCACTATTTGAGCCCAACGGCCTTCGGCCTTTCCCCCGTGCGGTGAGCCTGCAGGACTGGAGTGTACATACACGTGAACATACCAAATTTATGCCTTACGTACTGCGCAGTTGCGACATGTACTACGCAGAGCGTATTATTTATAATATGAAAATATGCATTATGGAGGCATTCATATGGGTGTGTACGCGGGCATCTACCGCGTATGCGTAATATACGTATGCGTATACATATGAGTGCACACGTGGATAGAATGTACCTTCATGTACACAGCTGGAAACACCTAAATACTTACACGTGCACATGTGTCTGTACACGCCCACTCCACACTACTGAGGCAAAGGTTGGGGAGGTGTTGCCACGTTAGCAGCGGATTGTTTCTTTTGCGTTTGCGTTCTAGAAATACAGTGACGCTTAATGAACCCTGGAGAGGCAAACTACACTTACAGCAGCTTGCCTGCTGGACAGACACAGAACTCCTGCCCCATGAAAAGCTGTGAGCTCGGCAGCTACTTGCTTTGCTCCTTCTTCCTGCTCCGAGAGCCTGCACCCTAAACATTTCACGCTGTATAAAGAACCCAAAAGGCATTGTTGTCTCATGGGCCAGCAGCTTGGCCGGAGACCTTGTACTTAGGGGTTGGGCGTGGTACGTGTCTTTGGGTTAAGGGTTTGGGGTTTGCGTGTGGGAGGTTCTCAGGCTGCCCCCCTCCGCTTCCGCAGCGGACCTTCGCCAACTGAAGGAGGCCCTTGCGGTGAATCCGCCGGGAAGCGGCTAAGGCAGCAAGGTGCCCTTTATATCTACATTGGGCGAGCATACAGAGGGCCCTTCAAATCCTCCCCTAATAACTCGTCAGTTAAAAGGAGCATCTCAGAATATGCTCAGAAGTGTCTCCTCAGCCGTTTTTGGCTCTCTATGCACACAATTAGCAGCTTGCGAGCCTTCCTCTCAAATAGCTGGCGCGTCCATGATCGGTTTAGAAAATACGACTTCGTTTCTCAATACCGTGGCACCAGGTGGGTGAGGGCCGTTGACATGCACTTTGCAGTGTGCGTCTTGGGGAGGCAAGTAAGATAGCTCCCCTGGATTCCATGCCGAGTCAAACAGCTACAGGCCAACCACTGCAAAGGCCAGTTTGCACCGCATCTTTGGAAGTACTGTGCAGTATCTTTGGGTGTGAACCCGTGAGCCTAATTCGTATTGACAGACACGTAAAGGCATTGGAAGATTTCCCGTTTTGCAGTCCAATCTATTGACTACCTCAATAGCACTGATGGATGGGAAAGTCCCTGCCCATGTTATTTGAGAGTACCCTCATGACTGCGATCCTATACACAAGTGGCACCAGAAAAAAACGCCATTATTGCCCATATACCTGCCCATTTAAACAGCTTCTATCACCATACTAGGTGGGGTATTCTTGACGGCGGATGAGTCACCGGACGGGAGGAGTGAAATGAGTTGCGACGCCCCCGTAAAACCATCTGTTGGAAGGTGCACAAGCAGAGTTGGGACAAAGAACGAGGAGTACAGTACTGATGAAGTAATACAAAAGCAACAAAAGGCTAAGAGATGACTGAAGTGGGATTCGAACCCACGCCCGCGAGGACTGCGGCCTGAACGCAGCGCCTTAGACCACTCGGCCATCCAGCCGGGAGCACGGGGCGTTTTGTTTTGCGCCACCCCTTCGGTGCGGTAGACGACGAAATCACCCGAATAACGAACAGTTTCCAGAATAAGTTAGTTTGAACCACTGAAACGCACGAAGGAAGAGTACGCCTTGGGACTTCTGCATTCGAGTGCTCTTACTCAGCCCCCCCTTACCCTATCCCCCCCCTCCCCCCTAAG